AAACAATCTAATTTCCTGAGCACTAGAACCCAAATCAGGAATTCGCTTCCGAAATTGTTCTTTCAAATCTGAAATCACTAAATTTGCAAACGAGGAAGGAAATTCTATTTCACCCTTTTTATGCAACTCTGCACAGTATAGCATAAGAACAAAGTTACAATTTTTCACTTGGCTTTCCAGAAGTATCAACTTTGCTCTGAATGCCTTGATAAGTGCAAATAAATCACAGACTAAGTTATTTTCATGCTGCAACTTTAAATTCAAATGGTTCATATGGTTCGCCAGATCAGCAAAAAATGCTAATTTCCAAAGCCACTCGGTATCTGATAAAAGTGGTTCTTGATGGTTTTTCTCTGTAAGAAATATATCAATTTCATGCCTGAGCTGAAAGAAGCGCGAAAGGACCTTTCCACAGCTAAGCCATCGAACTGCAGTATAATATGTCAGGTCAATAAGCTCTGAATCACATTTACCAGTACTCACTGGAAAATTAGTTCAATTGGCGCATATCTGGACAATTCTTTCGCGGGCCGGATAAAATCACATCGCGGGCCGCATGTGACCCGCGGGCCGTAGTTTGGAGATCCTTGATCTACAGAATTAAAAAAAGAATGAATGACTATTACATTACAACAAAAATTGCTGCATACGAACCTGCACATCATTTACTACACTTCGTATATGTCCGCATTTTAGGCGTTTCAGGAGATCCTGCTTCTGAGCGGTCAATAACATCTTAACTATTGTCTATATTTTCACAGTACTGCAACTTGAATAAAATATAGGACCTTATTCAAAATATACAAAACTTTTCAGTTGCTCCCACAAACGTTCAAAACACAAACCTCCTACCAGCCCCTTTAGCCTCCTACATTTTAAAGTTACTACTGATATTTATCACCAGATGTCCCAGACGTCCCAGACGTCCCAGAGGTCGTTGGAGTGGGAGGTGGGTTGCGTTTGAATAGACGCAAAATGTAGCTCAAGGACAGAAGTACGGATTACTTGGTAGGACTAGAGAGCGCTATGTATGTACTGATTCATGGGACGAGGGCACATGAAGGAAACTGGCAACCGCAATTTCCGAAAATTGTTATCAGTCTAAGTTGAACACATGTTACTGAATGGAGCTGAGTAAATTGAGGAAACGGCAATCAAGTTTCCTCAATTACCACTGCCCCATTAGCAAAATATGTTAAACTCAGGCTGATAAAAATTCTAGGAAATTGTGGTTGCGTTGCGGTTGCCAGTTTGCTTAGTGTGCCCACACCCAAAGAACTGTTCTGATCCTTACATGGAAAACATATCTGTGACTTTGTTATAGGTACGGATCATAGAAAAGATAGAAAATACATGTTTTACACATGGTTGCTGATGGAGTAGTATATTATGTTGGCGTTCCCAATTTTCTTTGGTGACATTAACGCCGATGTATTGCGATCAGCCAGGATATCATCGTACAAAACGTAAAACATTATACTAAAGGGTTCTGATGATGGTATTTTCTATAATACCAGATGGTGAAGAAACTGAAAAGGTCCAATAGTTCTGAGCAAAACGTCATTGTGCAGAATTGTTTACTAGTACATATTCTGCATGTCTGTGGTATTTCCCTCAGGAAACAGATTAAACTTGTGTATTTATTTTTCCAGGAGCCAGGATGGTGCAGTCAGTATAGCGCCTGGCAATGGGCTGGATGACTGAGGTGTAGGAGTTCCAGTTGTGGAAGGGTGAATTTTTCTATTTTGCACGTCTTCCAGACCGGCTGTGGGGTCCATCACCCAACCTATTCACTGGGTACCGTGGGCTCTTTCCACAGAGATAAAGTGGTAGGGCATGAAGCTGACCACTCACCTCCAGCTACTGCTGACGTCAAGAAAATGTGGATATATACGTTTAATCTCTCATGCACATTCATGGTGTAGTGCTTAATTAGGCGAGCACAGGGACAACTTTACGTTTTTATTCTTTCTTCCTCACGTTTATATGTGTCATGTACAGTTAATGGTATTGTTTGATGATATGAGTATTAAATTGTCATTTATGTAAGAGCTGTTGTAAAATAAAAAATTTATTCTGCAAGTCAGTTTTCTCAACATCTCCAAAATATTTGTATACACTGGAGCATAAACACTTAATGGAATAAAATTTCTCGAATTGTTATGTTCTAATTTAATTATAACATATATAACTTTGTTTAAATCTGAAATAATGAAGATTAAAATTACATCAGTATGGTGCCAACTTCCTCCTGTGGGATATAGCTACAAATATGTAATACTTGTCCTTACATTTTCACAGCTGTAGCATAATTTGTCACTTCAGCTTTTAAGAATAGACCACATGGAATACTGAAGATCTTCTGTTTCAGCTAACATTACCATTGCCATCTTCACAGTTAATGATGAACTGGGGAATTAGCACCTCTCATACACACCTTCAGCTGGCAGTTGAGTCAGAGACGAAGCTGTCATTGGAAGAAGCAGAGGAGCAGGGTGTTATCTAATAGGGCTGTAGGGAACAAAAATGTGTTTACAATGACCAAAAATATTTTGGCAACCAGGTGGTCATAATAGAAGGTGATGAAAATGTTTCAACAATGTCTTGACAAAAGTGAAGATTAACTTCATATTTCCAAAAACCAAAGACATGTATACAAATTGGCACCCTAATTCTGATGTAGGCAAATTGCACTGTATCCTCATTCTGATACCAATGGCTTCTGATCATTCTTGTGAAAATGTTTTGTTTCCAGTTTTTCAAATTCACACAATCAGCATACTGTTATTGGAGTATATCATATCCAGATGTCCTGCAGATACCTTCCTTGATTCTGAAGTTCACTTACAATTAATCTGGCATTCTGTTCTTCAATTCCTGAAAATCAAAAATGAATTCACCTCTTCAAAGATGTAACAGAAATGAGAACAAAGATATCATGATACCACAGACATGCAAATAAGAACATTTTTTAGATACAGTACAATCCTTAACTACCAAACCACTCTGCAACAAAGACATCCACACCAAACCAAAGGTTTTCACAAATAATTCCTAATCCTTTTTTTAGAAAAAATGAGTTTACTTTTTCTGCCTGCATAGAGAGACTAAACACACACACATTTGAGCCAGACTTACAAATTCTGAACATGCTAACACAAAAAGAAAAGAAATAAATACTTTGGGTGTCTGCTGTCCAGATATATGAACCAAACTTACAGTCTGAACCATTAACGACGTTTGAAATTCCATAATAAGAATAACAGCTCCATAATTTAAATGTTGAAAACTGAAATTAACTTCCTTCTGGCTTCAATCTTTGCAAAATCTTTATAGATATCATTAAAGTTTACCATCTCCAAAATTCAGAAAATCCAAAAATAAATTCTCTGGATGCTCCTCAGAAATAGTCTGAAAATGTTTAAGCATATGGTACACACATACCCATGCATCTGGGGGCCCTAAGCAACTGCCACTTTGCCCACTGGATAAACTGGCCTTATTTCTAACAGCAGAACAAAACCCATTTACACAGTTTCTGTATACTCTACTGCAAAATGCTTTCAAAGTGCAGTATTTCCATTTATATGGGATACCAAATAACATTAATACCTCTTTCATTCTGAATCACAGACACTATGGCATTAAGTATGTCCATTCCCATGTTCTTGGCATCTCCACATATATAGACTGTACTGTTCTTTTCAAAAACTTGGTTAACAAACTCCCTGCCATAAAGTTTGATATTATCCTGAAAAAACGAAGAATGAGTATAGAATGGTGCTGCTTAAAGAAGTAGCATTTTAATTACACATAATTACCATATTTACGCATGTATAGGCCGCACATTTTTTTCCAAAAATTCAAGAGGAAAACTGGGGTGCGGCTTATATTCGAAATATTCGAAATCACACTTCATTTAAAAAAAATTATATTCATAATTAGTAATACAGGATGTTCTACTCCTGAAATAATATTCCAAGAAATTATTTTTTCTATAATTTCTGTCTGAAAATTGTGCTGCGGCCTATACACGCACGCGGCCTATACATGCGTAAATACGGTATCTGTTTTACAAAAATTGTATACTATAACTGACATAAATATGATATCTTATAAACCTTATGTTACAGAAAGTACTTTCTTACTTTATAAGACTAGATTGTGACAATATATAGTCTTGTTGGTGGATACCAACGTTTTGGAGATACATGTCACCTAATTCTTCAGGATCAACCCTAGAGATGATATTCACATTATCAATGCACTGCAGCAAAAGGAAAAACACTGACATTACAGCATCCAGATCCAGAATTGTAATATATCTGGCAGAGGCCATGTTTCAGACTAAGATAAATAACAGCACAATAATGAAGAAACAGGAACATGCTATTTACCTGAACATATCTTGGCATTTTTTCCTTTCTTTTATCACGTGAAAATGATAAAAATAGACGATTTAAGATGCCATCTTCAATATACTTGTTCAGCTCTGACCTACAAGAATTAGATCACACAGGTAAATGATGATCATTTAAAGAATCAAAATTAAGAAGCTGATGTCACTATACAATCTGAGCATAGAAATAACATCACAGAACAGACAGCCACAAGAATAGATTTTGTTGTATCATAGCGTCCTGTTGCACTGATTTTCATCCATGATATGTATACAGTGGCCGTCTTGTAGTGCACTCAATTTCACCTGTTACTTCATGACATGTTTCAGCAACATAGTGCCATCATCAGGTGCCCTAATTACACTAATCTATTGCATTGCTTGCCATTATATGTCTTTATAAAATTATTTAAAAAGTATTTAAAAAGTGCGTATTCGTCAACTATAATAAATTTACACACACAAAAACTTGTTAAGATTATTCATTTTATGTGTCTTAATTAAAACTTGTGTGTGGTTCTTCCACTATGGGATCGTTTTTCTTATATTCTGTGTAAACCGTGTCTTGTGATGTGTGTTCCCTGTAGCATATACTGATCACATACAGCATAACTTTTGAAATGCTTATTACAAATAATATATTTTACTGTGATATAGTGTGTGTGAAATAATCTATTACTCTTCTGTCACCACAGTGTTTGTACAGTTATATTATATGTCATGTATTAATTACTACATGTTTTGGCCCTTTTTCTTGGCCATCACCAGGTATATACAGATTTTTTACATTCACCTTCTTCATGCTCTGGGAGTATTTATTTTCAGTTTTTATGTTTTTATGTAATGTCTCTTTTCTATAAGATTAATTAAATATTACACTATTACAATTAAAGTTAAAGTTTGATTTGTTTCATTCTGGTCCGTCAACCTATTAAGTTTACAATTAAGTTTATTTCAGTCCAATGTGACATATAAATTGTTATATGTCACACTGGACTGAAATAAACTTAATTGTAAAGTTAAAGTATTATTTTACTAAATATGTAAATATTAAAACACTGAATTTTTTATTGTAACAACAAGTTTCTTGTGTCTCGGTTTGGTAAATTTCAGGCAATGTGCTCTGTATTCTAGTTGATGTTGTGGAATTTGTTCCCTGGACAACCTGGTGCTGTTGTTCTTGCGTATTCCACTCATCTGTGGGTACGTGATGTTTTGTTTCCTGTGTTTTCCTGTGTTATTTTTATTCCTATTACTTGATCTTGTTATGAGAGATGTGGAGCTTGTGTTAGTGACTGTACAGACAGATTGTGAAACCTTCCTCACATTTTAATTCAGATTCATTGTCCTGACATTGACTGCTGTTTTATAAGTCCTGAAAGATAGGATAGCTGTGGAGAGGGACTCCTGAAGTCACTTATCAAGAATGTGTCTTTACAATTTTCCTCAGCCTGAAGTTGAAGAGGGCATAATTATATCTTGAATTAATTTATATTAATTTTGATGTCCTTTGTCATTTCTACAAACTGAAAGAAAAGTGTAAGTAGAACTAACCTGTAAAGGAAATCCTTATCCTCATACCTGCACCCATAGAACAACCAAATCTCTCCAAAGACCAAGTCACTTGACTTTTGCCATTCTGCCTGGCGATGCTGAAGGAAACCTAATGATAAAACAATTTAAAATCTCTTATTTCATTCATTCATCCATCAGTAATCTGTCAGATGACAGGTCCACAGTCTCTTCCAAAACAGTTCCTCCACTTAATGCAATCTAGAGCTTTCTCCTTCAAATGAGAATATCCTCTTCTATCCCCAAGGTCATCCAGCATCTTCTTATGTCTTCTTCCTCGTCTTCAGGTCACTTCTATCCACCCCTCTATCTTTCCTTCAATAACTTCTTTTAGGAGGCAGTTACTGCGTAAGATATGACCGATCCAATTAGCCTTCCATTTTCTTATTTCGTGTAGGATATTCCTCTGTTCACTGACTCTAAATAACACTTCTTCATTTCTCACATAATCGGTCCAACTGATCTCCTCCATCCTTCTCCAACACCACATTTCGAAGCTTTCCAGGTGTTTCTGATCTACTGCCCTAAGTGTCCAAGTTTCAGCCCCATACAAAGCCATGCTCCAAATGTAGCATTTCACTAGTTCCTTTCTCAAATTTAAGTTCAATTTGCTAGTAAAAAGATTNACATCTTCCTATGAATCATTTAGCTACTTTTCTTATGTCACATATATGGATCAAAGAGAGAAAAGAAAAATATATTCTTCACACACCTCAGTGGAGTGCTTAAAATATTCTATTTACTGTAGAAGAAGACTGACTGACTGACTGACTGACTGACTGACTGACTCATGGCGTGTAATGACACTTTCTTAACCATTCATGTAATTAAGTGACAAATGTTAGGACAACAGTGTAAATGGTGAACTGGAAAAAATATGGAATGAAGTGGTTCGTCTTATAGCACTATCCAGAATTTTCCTGGAGACAGAAAAAACAAGAAACATCAGCAAAGGCAGTCTCCAGGCTGACACTCAAACCTGGGACTTCCTAAGTACAGGAATGTAGAATATCAGGTACCAATGAATTTTTCATATTGAATGTAACGCTTCTGTTTCACTATTCTGAGTGACACCAGTCCACTCACCTATGAAGGGGGCCACTCCTGTTCCTGGTCCTATAAGGATCACAGGCACTGAAGAGTCTTTTGGAAGCCTGAAACCTGTACTTTTCCTCAGGTACACAGGGACCTGAAAACATGTCCATCAGTTACCCACAGCACCATTATCAATACTGGTTTGAAAGAATCCTCCTCTCTGACTTTATCACTGAAATATGTTAAGTAATTTTAATTCTGTACAATGAAAACTGTTCATAAGAACTTTTTTTATTGTTAACAACAGTAATATTATTAAAGATAACTTTTTCAATTTTGTCATTTCAAGAATGATGGATGATGAGAGAGAGAGGGTAGCTAACGTGCACAGATGAAATGTAATTGTTTACAAAATTTTGATTGGAAAAACATACTAACAAGAGCTGTTCTGAAAGACCCAAGAAGCAGGATATGAGGATGAGAACTGTACTCATTTGACTCAGGACCGAGTCCAATAATGCACTGCAGGTTTTGTAAAAGTTGGGTGTAGCTGAATAACTATAAGCTTCTCAAGCAGGATATCATCATGGCCTGGAGGCATTAAATTAAATCAAGAGAAAAGGAAATTTCAGCATTGGAATTTAATGTACACTTCTCAAGCAAGGTAGGAACTATGACTGTACAATATCAGGCATAAATATCATGATACCTTCAACTCCGTCAGTTTATCCTGCAAGCTTAACTTCCTCAGCTCTTCAGTGACAGAGTCATCAGGACTTGCAGCTGTCTGAATGATCCTCGTCAGGGAATCTAGCCAGCCAGTACAGGCGCCATAACGGGCACCAGACCCATCATGTTTTGAAGCAGGAAACTTCACCAGAGTGTACACAAAGTGTAATTCTGAGCATCCTCTGCTCTTCTGGAGTGGAGAAGAGGCAACTGAATATGGACGGGCCTACAGATAAGAAACAATGATATTTTATTTATACTGTGCCAGAAACATCTGTGAGGATACACACCATTAGATAGTGATATGGATCATTATATCATCATTAAAAAGTTAATAATTCAATTTTCAACATACAATGGAAAACAAAATCTCCATAGCATTGAACATGCAGGACTTATCTTCCATAAGGTTACCTACTCAAAGTTTGACATACGTTCAGAGGTATTTTAGACAGACTATACCTATTATTATACCTATTAATGAATGACTACAGGCCGGATGACTGGGCAGTCAGAGTTCAAGTCCTGGTAGAGTCAAGGATTTTCTCTTCTCCATGCCATCCAGACCAGCTCTCGGGTCCACCCAACCTCCTATCCTGTGGGTATCAGGGGCTCTTTCCCTGGGGGGGGAGGGGCTGGGGTGTAAAGCTGGCCACTCACCTCCAACTAGCATTCAGGTCAAGAAAATGTGGAGCTATACATCCACTCCCCCATATGCCTTCATGGCGTGGTGCTTAATTAGTTAAGCACAGGGGCAAATTTACCTTATTTATACCTATTAACAGGTATCTTCTGACCTAACAATATCAGAATGTGGCAGCCTAATAAATATCTGATGTACATAAAATCATATGTCATATCTGTCATTGACAGAAAAAAACTACTTTTTAATACTCTGATCATTAAGTTGCCAACTTTAGTCAACTGATGGTGTCGCATGGTCAGCGCAACGAATCCCCACGGTCGTTAATCTCGGTTTTCTAGACCGGAGCCGCTATTTCCTCGAAATAGCTCCTCAATTATCCTCACAAGGGTGAGTGGACCCTGTTCCAGACCCACTTCTTCTAAGAAAATCTGGTAGGGTGGGGGATCGAACCCAGACCACTAGATCTGTAGCCAGGAACTCCTGACCACTAGACCACAAGGCACTAACTTTGCCAAGAAGCAGCAGTCACTCAGTCGGTATAGTTCGCTTGAAGACTAAAACCACGGAGTTTCTTTTTTAATCATTAAGTTTAAAGGTTTACCATTAGTGCAATATATTTCAGCAACTGGCATGTGACTTATGGTACACATCTTAATTTTTCTGCCTTTAAGTTTGTCACAGAAGTCACTGAACTGCTTAATCATCCAGAGAACATTAACCAGGAAGGTACATATACAAATTATGTAGACATGTGAACCCACATAGCATGATAGATGGGTTCCAATGTTTCAGAAGAACCAGCTACTTCCATCTTCTCTTCTGAAAATGAAAGAGCAAGTTCCTCTGATACACCGCTACCTCTCTACTAAACTAGTATAAATGTAGCTATCTTTTCAAAACTCTTCAAGATACTGGCGTAAGATGTTTGTGAGGAAGTTAGTTTTAACAATATATAAATACAAACCACTCCGTCCAATGTGACATATAAGTTTTTACTACATTAAAACTTATCTCCCTTACATGTTTCAGTCCTTATGGGTCATCTTCAGAGGGAACATCATTACAAACTGGAAACTACCATCACAATAGGTGTTTTGATTTAAAATACATACACTTATATCCTATAATGCACAGTACGCATAAAGTCGAACGTTTCACAATCACAGCAGCTTCCTGGTGTCGTAAAAAGTTTCTAGATGTTATTTAAAAAACCTTTATTGTCAATAGTTAAAATTTTTTTAAACCACGTAGGTTTGTGTCCGTACTCCTATCGTCCTTCTTGTATGGGGCAGATTTTGTGCCGCCTGTCTATCTTGATGAGGAGGTTCTTGATGTCGTCCAGGGTTTGTTCGTGGCTTGCTGTGTTGTTTTCACTGCTTTAATAACTTTCTGTTGCAACTTTAATGGCCTGTACACTAGTTGGGAAATAATGCCCCTAGACACTACAGTACAAAGAATGTAATTTAAAACTAAATAAAACAAAAAATAATTCTTTCATCCACTCTATCACACATACCTGAAGACGAGGCAAGTGTTCCACAAGCATCTCAACTGGAGGACAGCATGTAGGGAATGTTTCTAATAGGTCAAGCAATGTAGTTCTTGCCTCCACTATAAATTTTGAGTAGTGGGCACTCCCTTCTTTACTGCACAGTTCCTCCAGTCTGTGTCGCTCAGTTGGGTCTTCTGTGTGGGAAGCCAGTATGCGTAAAAACATCTATAAATAGTAATCATTATCAGGTATAGCTTATGCCACAAGTGATGACATACACTCTAAAACAACATTCCATTCTTTTGTGTGGAATCATGAACAAGAGTCCACGTGAGCAAATGATAAGTAGAGGTGAAGCAAGTCAGTGTGCTGCCTGGCCTTTTTGTAGGGAAGAGAGGTGGAATACTTTTTTTACTCCTTGAGCACTGAGAGGTACACCCCATCACACTCCTGCTACCCTTCACCTTCTCCTCTCCTGTACAACCATATGTCATCTCTCATTGCATAAAGTATACTAAAGGTTTTAATAATATGGGTGTAATTATCATAAAAGTTATCAAAAATATGAATGTTAGAACTTTAATATTGGCAACTATTTATTTACAACTGATACAAAATAGATGCATGTTTCAATGTTTTACTGTCCTTCAATGTAGTCACCAGCATTGTGTACAACCCATTACCAGCGATGTGGAAGTTGTAGGATACCTTTAGCAGTGCCTGTTGTGTTGGCAGTTCGAATGGAGCAGTCTACTGCCTGAAGAATCTCTGGAACAGTCCTGAAGCGAATGCCATGAAGTGGTTCCTTCATCTTAGGAATCAAGTCGAAGTTATAAGGGCTTAAATCCGGGGAGTATGGTGGATGGTACAGCACTTCTAAGCCCCATCGATCGAACAAATCAGCCACAGCTTGCCATTTCTGCATTTCCATCAAATCATGGGGAATCCATCAGGATGCAATTTTTCTCATTCCCAGGCGTTCCTTCAGAATGTGAAGCACAGTCGTATGCGCTAATCCTGTCTCTCGGGCCATCTCACGAATCGAATGGCGTCAATCACTTTCCAGTAACGCGGAAAGAGAATCCACTTCTTCTTCACAGACACTAGGACGACCTGGCCGATGCATGTCTGCCACATTTTGGCATCCCTTGTTGAAGGCTTTTACCCACCTTGCCACTGTTCTGTAAGGCAATGCAGATTCCCTGCAAGCCTCTTGAAGACCTTGATGACACTGTTGTGCTGTACAGCCTCTGGCACATTCAATCTTTATCCAACTCCGTTGTTCCTGTTTCAAAAACATCATGAGACAACATTACATTAGACCGCCAGCTAACACGAGGCTCTGTTCTTCTCGTCACTGCGCATGCGCGTGATGTGGGAAGGGAGAGTCCATTTGCTCTGAGGTAAGGTAGGTATGTAACTAACATGTGGTATAAGTGACATTATTTGGTTCCGTTGCATGGCGTCTCTACAGCAGTGTTGCCACTATTAAAGTTCCAACCCTCATATAACTAAATTACTACTACAAGTACTGTAGAAATTTGATAGAAGCCTACTCCATTATTTCAATTGTTCATTATGACCCAATTATTAAAATGGTCTTAAAAGGTAAGGTAAAGTTGTCCTTATACTTAATGAAATAAGCACTACGCCATGAAGACAGACCTGGAAGTGGATATATAGGTCCACTTTTTCTTGACCTCGGCACTAGTTGGAGATGAGTGGTCAGCTTCAAGCCCTGGCCGCTTTAGCCCTGGGAAAGAGCCCCCGGTACCCACTGTACAAGAGGTTGGGTGGACCCCAGAGCAGGTCTGGATGACATGGAGAAGTGAAAATTCTGGACCCTACCGGGACTCACACTCCAACCTCTCAGTTGTCCAGCCTGTAGCCAGTTGCCATACCGATTGCGCTATCCCAACTCCTATTAAAATGGTATTAAGGTATGTAATAGCTTTGTTCATAAGCGTTGATGATGTTCATAGGATGTTCACAAGTCGGTGACTTCCTGTATTATATATACAAAGAGAGTAGAATGTTCAAGGTGAAACAATTCATTCATCAGAGATGACTTAGAGGCCAGGTGAGTGGATTTTGGCCATTGCCAAGTAGATATAAGGCACACTTCAAGAGCCCTGGCCTCAAACACTGTTACAAACTGTTCAAAGCAAAGAGGGCCAGATTTAAGGGGGAACTACCAAGGCAGCCATCCCACGGCCTCCACAAAACAGAAATAGGATCAACAGATTTTACTGAGACATTTTCTATTCTAAAATCACAAAAAAATAGTTTGTATTTTTAGTTATTATAAAAAACGAGGCTAAAAAATAAATTGTCACAAGCTAAATTTGCTGTTACTTAAAGGAGCCCCTGCAACAGTAATTCTGGCCCTGATGCTGAGTCAGAGCTTACCATGGCCAGGACATCATACACTAGGGTTGCCAGATTTTGTAAAATAAAAAAAGGAGTGATGTCTCATTGCTTGTTTATAACGACATTTTTCACGACTAATAGGCTATAAAATATACATAATCAACATACTACATAACTTCCAAAATGCTACTACACGTCTGTATTATATAGGCCTACTACACATTTATAGAACAAAACAAATATTACGTAGCCCTATTACATATTTATAGAATGCACAAAATATTCTGCTTTGGTTTAGAACCTCAAGTGTTGCCAACATTCACGAAATGCAACATAACGAAAGAAACTATAACAATGTCATTTTCCATGAATTACAGAAATTTTATGATAATATTTAACCCATGAATTCGCAATGGACTTATATAAAAAAACGGAGAATTATCCACTCTGGGTAAACAATAAACGGAGGAACAAAATTTTGGTGAAAAAATGGAAGAAACCAGGGAAAGCAGGGTATCTGGGAACCCTATCATACACATACTCCAAGGTATACTAATCCAATTCTTTTCTCACACTCAGACAGAAACTTCAAAGTACCTGTGACATGCAAAGTACAGTCACCTTACATAAGTTTTGAGGTTTTCATGCAGTGATTCTCCAGACTGTTCTCTTCGGTGGTAAAGATGGTGGAAGAATGTTCCCACAGATGTCAGTATCCACCTACATGACTACACAGTGTCACACCCCAGAAGACCTTCTGCAAAGTTACCTTTTTTGGGACTGCCCTGATGTCAAGGCAAGTCTGTAAGATGTGTCTAAGAGTAGTCTTTACTGGGATGTGTGGTGGCACACATGCATTCTTCTTCACTGTCCCAGGTTTCACTAACACAGTAACGATGGTGTCGGCTCTTTCAGTTATCTTGAGATGTTTCATGACCTTCTCAACTTCATCTTTGGAGTTTTCAGGAATTACACCTATTGTGTCACCTGGCTGAAAATCTATACCAGATCCCTGTAAAATATTGTATCTGCTTTTTAACATGCACAACAAAGTTAATTTTTAACCTTGTCCATCTTCTTCATTTCCAACCTCACTCCCATCAGCTACAAAAGCTATACGACTGAAAATAATAGAAAATATAAAATTCGTGCCATCTACTGCTTCTATACGTGACCTACCAGAAGAGATGCCAGAGAGGGTAAGAAGGAAATAAATAACACTCAGCAAGGTATCATAATATTGTGGTAAAATCATAATGTTGTAGCACATGGCTTTGGACAACAGATCTTGTGGAGAAATGAAGATGTTGAAACCCTTCTTACAGAGGACAGGAAAGCGTTAATGCTTAACACACCATTCTTGTCCTGTGGAGTAGAGGTTCTTGATAGTTTCTTCTGGTTAAGAATGTGTGGAACTATACCTCCACTTCACCGTGTCTCCATGGTGTGATAATTAAGCACAGAAACAACTTTACACTTACATTATCTTTAATATACCATTTAGTAGATACAGTGTGGGAAACATAGATACTGGCTATTTTGAGAGGGGTGGTATGGACAGGATCAATCTGGCTCAGGACAGGGACATGTGGAGGGCTCTTATGAACATGGTATTGAACCTTTGGTTCCATTAAATGCTGGGAAGTTCTTCAGTATCTCCACAATTGTGCGGCTTTGCAAGAAGGGCTCAGCTCTATGAAGTTATGATATAATAGCCACTAGGAGTCCTACTTACAGGGCAGATTTCAGATGGAAATGAGTAAATTTCAAGAGAAAACTGCATGAATGACATTTTGGCATACTGTCTACCACAGTCTCATCAAAAATGTCACTTAAAAATTATGATGGGCTTAAATGGCTTAATATTCAGAAAAGCAAATAATTTTTCCCTTGAGAAAATCTTTCATCGATGATTAAATACAAACATTTCTATGTACGGTTGAAATACTGCAGGCACTATTACCTGAATATCTAAACAAACATCTACAACCTTCTTGACATCCTCACCACACGTAAGTTGTTGTGCGCTCAACACAGTTGCCAAGTATGGAGAGCCAGTGGCAAATGGAAAGGCACAGCCATTCTGAATTTCAAGTTCCTTCACATCCTGTAATTTTGAGACAAATACAGTACTTATCAGATCAGCTTAACTTTGAAGTAATTTTAGCACAATGATTTGCCACTGTACAGGTTACTTTTGTGGAACTGAAAATAAAACATCTTTGTGGTTAAAGAAATCTATCTCCACATAAAAGGCCAGAGTATGTTTGCAGACAGATTATGAAAGCATTGAACTTTTCAAGCATTAAATACAGTAAGCCATTTAGCCACACTGTAATAATTCTGTCAACTGTTCTAAACTTATCACAAAAGCTTATGACTATCAAATAGCATTTTCCTTTTAATGTAACTCTTCCATTCTGCAAGTGTTGAGATTATATTAGATAATATTCCATGTGCTCATATGTTCATATTTCATGTGTTTCCATCTTGTGGGACAAAGAGTACCCCAAGCAAGAAATCAGCAAGAAGCAGGCAGCAAACAAGTATGCTCCTCTGATATGTCAGCAGACTTCTACCAGACTATATTGAGTTACATCCCAAAAGACAGTCCTCCTCATAATCACTGCTGTGGGAACCTCAAGTTCAAAATAGAATGCTTGTTACTGCATACAGTTTTAATTACTTGTTAGTGTCTTAAATGTTCTGAAGATAATCAGAATGATGTGAAACCTTGTGTGAATTATGCTAAGAGTAAATAAATGATAATGCCCATATACAGACCAAAATATTTTATGCTTTTAAAGAGTATAATGTTTGCAACTTGTTTCCTGATGGTTATATTTTGAACTTAGCACAATATATTACAACAGTTTGGAAATTTATGTCGAAATATGTGACATTTATTATGTCAGGGATGGTAATAGGGTCAGATACATACAGATGCCATCCACTTGGTTCAAGTGTGCTTCATTTTGAGGAAATTGTTTCCATTGCATTGGGATGTCATAACTATTGTTCCCAACAGTGATACATGTAGGAACAAATTCATGAGCGTCCATTGCAAACATTTCCTCCTAACATTTACTGGTCATTGCCCTGTTCTTTTCCACTGGTCTTAAGCACCTACCTAGTTCTTTGTTGAAGTGTTTAACTAGTACTGAAAGGCCAGTTCATCCACGAACTGCATGATGTTAGGTGTATTGTAATTTGGAATAATTTCACAACATGCAGAATTATAGAAACGCGTCCTGCTCGTCTCAGTGCGAGATTATATGACTATCAAGAATGCAAAATATCATAAAAATATACATACCAGTTTCTCACAAGGATGATAACAAAGTTCCAAGAAATCTGGTGGTAAAGTTGGCAAGCTTAACTTCACGTCCACCATAGTAATAAGTATTTTTATACTTAATTCTTTATTAGATAAGTCTGTGGCCGTGGGAATTAAACAACAATAATGCAAGGTGATGGACTTCTATTTTTCGTTGCCTGTTTATCTTTGTGGAGATTTTAAATAGCATCTAATAACATAACCTCAAATCACAACACACTCCCTCTAAAAACATTGTCTTAACATTATTCTGTGCAAATGGATTTGTAGGCTTTCACATCTATGTAACTGAAAACTACGCTTGACACAATACGTGTAATATAGGTCGCTATTTTACAGTTTTCGGTTTTTCATGTGGCATATTCATCACATTCACAAGTTTCCTCCCAAACAACCCGTAGCTGCCATTGAGGCTATGCAATTTCTACGGAGCTTTCCCTACACTTGTGTTGAATAATGAACTTCTTCTACCTGACGATGGATATTGTTAAGTTCCTTAGAAACGATGGCACCTATCTACAAAATTACAAGTGTCTGTCCTAGAACAGCATAAACTTAACACCCATCGCTGTTAGAACCAGAAATCGCAATTTGCGTCCTGCCGAATATATATATATATATATATATATAACTAAATTATGTAGGACACAGCAGAAGTAATCCTAAACCACATAAATTCAAATGTACGTGGTATTGGACAAGGAAAATGTAAGCATAGGAAGTATAAGGGGCTTAAACTTGGCGGCGGTCAAGCGCGGATATACTGCTGAAACTGCGGCGCAACAAACATGGAGCCTACATAAACGTAGAATGACTGACCCCTCCTTCAAAGAGGAGGCCCCCTTTCGAAACACGTAGATGTCTAGGAGAGAATAAAAATCTTCGTCTTGTACTCGAGGAGACTAAAGCCAGAAATGGCTGTGCTGACGAAACCAGCAGCAATTTAACCGACCGACCGACCGGCCGACCGACCGAGTTGTGGTTGATGAGGTTGTCTCGGTTGAGAGTTGCAGTTGTGAGAAGTGAGATCTGGTAGCTGAGGTCGAGAACAGTTCGGGAACCCAGAGGAAGTGGAATATCCGCCGTTCGAAGCCGCTGCCAAGCAACGGCTAGTGAAGATTGAGAAGACTTTATGTGTGTTGTAGTTACAGTGGGCTTTGTAGCGTGTAATCAAGTAAGACTGACGTAGTTGTTTGTAGTTAACGAGTGTAAATGTCCAATAAATCCGATTATCAATCAAAATCCCATCATCACTCTATCTCGCGGCAGTATTAATGCCAGATATAATAAAAGAAGTATGTTGTCTGAACCAGAGGTCACTGAACCTGTACTCGTGAGGGTCACATCGATTTTGTACCATACGCCTGTCTGCTTGTTAGCTGCTGCGACGTGTGAATTTAAATGAACCCGGGGAACTGGGTAGAAAATAGCGATTGCACATGCATCCACCCAGCTATTCATGAAGCGTGTCTCACGTAAGAGAATGGATTATGCCAGTGGTTGTAAATTAATTCACTTTACACAAGTACATGCTGATGTCTCACTACAAGGATTCAGGGAAAATTATAATATAAAGAGAGCTAACAAACAGATCCTTTGAATGTGGCGAAGTTCAAATATTTGCAAACGACAGTAACGAATCAAAATTTGATTCATGAGAAAATTAAGAGCAGATTGAATTCGAGTAGTGCTTGCTACCATTCCTTTCAGAACTTTTCGTCTTCTCTGTCTAAAAACATGAAAATTAAAATACACAAAAATATAATTTTTCCTGTAGTTACGTATAGGTGTGAAGCTTGGTTTCTGATGTTATGGGGAAGATATATAGACTGAAGGTGTTTGAAAGCAGAATTGTAGGGAGAATATTTGGACCGAAGAGGGATGAAATGATAAGAGGTTGGAGAAAACTGCATAATGAGGAGCTTCACAAATCATACTTTTCTCCAAATACGTGTATAATTTGAATGACCAAGTTAAACACGTTTCCACTGCAACGAATACACATGGAACCATAGAAAAATTGTTGTATGCATCGTTTGTAAAAGGTCCGTGCCTTTAACAAACATCGTAGAGGTCCACCACAGAACTTAGGGCATATCTCAAGGGTTGTCATATCACATATTATTAAAGAGTTAAGCAGAGCTAGACAGTTAACATTCAGCAGAATTCCGTATTTATATTTGAAGACAACAAAAATAGTGAAATAGGCAGTCACTGAACCAGAATTAATTTAAATTTATGATCATTTCGAACTTCTGCTCTGCATACATGACAAGGAACAAACCTTATTATGCTAAAGCAGGGACTTGCAAGGCACTTGAGAGAATAATAAAGTAAGTAACTAAGTAAATAAATAATGACCTGACAACGAAACAGTCTTGTGCCTGTTCCACAAAAGGGAAACAAGTAATGGGCCATAGTTTTCCCCTTAAACATGTTCACAAATGAAATTAAATGTTATTCGATTTGTAGAATCAGTGACAGGTAATAGCAAAAAAATAATTTGCCTTAAATTAAATGGAAAGAAAGAGAAACCCATTTTTTTAATTAAGTCAATTTTAAACTGACTATACGAAATACCGAAAATATGTCCTCACAGATGCAGTTTGTTCTAATCCGCAAGTTGAAAAAGAAAATTAAACAAAAACTTTGTAGCTGCTCGCCTGGTTCACAAAAGATTAAATTTAGCTCAGTCGGTATAGCGAATGGCTACAGACTGGATGGCTAATGGGTCGGAGTTCAAATTCGGGTAGGGATACATTTTCTCCCCTCCCCACACGTCATCCAGACGGGTGCTGGGGCCCACCCAACCTCCTATCCAATGGGCACCGCAGTCTATTTCCCCAGGGGTAACGCTGCCGGGGCGTGAAGCTGACCACTCAACTACAAATAGTGCTGAGGTCAAGAGTCCACTCTCCCATGCGTCTTCATGGCGTGGTGCTCAATTAATTACACACAGGGGCGACATTGCTTGACTTGTAGTACTGGCCACGTAGTGCCAAAAAATGTCAATCCGAAAGAATAAGCCTTGTATCGGGCACAAAAATGTAGGATTTTAGCTTCTCACAGCGGTGGTTAGGAAGAGAGATCTCTTCTGGGATATAACACCGTATATTCTGTTGGAACTTAACCGACGTTTCTGGGGAACACATGGCCTCTATCTTGAGGATGGAAGAATAGGCCAAGCAAGGGATTTGAGACGTTGAGGCTCCCACATTTTCTAGATAATTGGCTCACAGATGGCAGTGAGGTTGTCAGCCTTACGCGCCGGCTGTCCTTTAACGCCAGGAAGATTCCTGGTACTTATTTCTGTTAGAGGCTGAGTCGACCCTCAGGGCCATAGTGCGGCTGGAAGGATTAGGTCAATTGTAAAATCCAGTGGTCTCATCAGGAATCGAAACCGCAACCTTTCGGCTTGTAGCATAGTGCCTCAACCAACTACCGAATTCCCCTAAGCATGTGTGGTATAGTAACTAAAAATAACAAACCCTATTTCCATTGTTGTAGTCCAACTGTTGCATTATTAAGAATCTGCTTCCTAGCAATGGGAACATAATTTACCGAGCCGTTGCTCATAAACCGTCGCTGTTTACAGAGCCACCGCTTAGCAACGAGTCTATACGCCACAAAATTGTAGTTGATTCTTAGGGCTAAAATCGTTTAAATTTGTATTTGTGTCCCGTCAGTATGATGTGAATTTGGGTGATGCTTGTCGTATGTTAGAGGGTGATGATGTCTTCTGGGATACATTGTTAATGCTCGTTTTATGTGTTATGAATGATTACTCGCGTACAATTGTTGTTGTTAGTTGTACACGTATTTCTTCCTGATTTTCTTGTGTAGCATCGTGATGAAGTTGTTCCCCTTTGGAATGTGTGTTTATGTGCTTATTTGTACGGATGATTTCTTCGTACTGCTGAATGTTCCAGTTTTGAGGTTCTGTGTGAACTGACAATAAAGATCGTTCTGCAGAAAAAACGCCTTACAACAAACACAAGGGCTATGTACTGGGGGAGTGGTCGGTCATTCGACTCAACCAACTGAGAGACGAATGTTACAGGAAATTTAGACCTGTCAGTTCTGACATATCCCATAAATCACTATGAACAGACTGGCATAGCGGTAACGAACTAGACTCACATCTGGAACGTGCTCGGTTTGAATCTCGACGGGGACATTGATTACTGTGATTGAAGCTTTTCGCGGTTTTCCTCAGAACCTCAAGGGAAACTCCTGGATAGTTCCTCGATCACGCCAATATCTCTATATTCCAAATCCTTCCCTATTCATCATTCATAAGCACCCTGATATCCGACGCTGTATTTTGCTTACTGACGGTAAGAAAATTAAGTTATCCCTATGCTTAATTAATTAAGCATTACGCCATGAAGCTATATTGAGGAATGGAGATACAGCTCCACCATTTTTAACCTCTCAACTAAATGGAGATGAGTGGTCATCTTCACGTCTCGGCCGCTTTACTCCCGGGGAAATCGTTCCCGGTAACCATAGGATGTGAGGCTTGGTGGGCCCCAGAGCCGGTATGGGGGTTGTTGAGAAGAGAAAAGTTTTTCCCCTGACGGGAATCGAACCCCGGGCGTCAAGTCCTAGCTCGACCTTATACAGACTGAGCTATCCCAACCTATAATTTGCGTAATTTGCGCCGTAAAATTATCAAATAAAGAATTGTGAAGGATCTGTAAGGAAGCGGGTATGGCCTAATGGCATTTACCGGGGGGGGGGAACTGAGAATAACCACGAAGAACTTCAGCCGATGTTACGGCCAAGATTCGAGAAAGCGCCTTCCAAATACAAGCCTAGACCGCCAGGATTGCACCAACCTACTCGGTTTTAACAACGGAGCAGTTTTACCCATTATATCATTATGAAACTACATCCCTACTTTAGGTAACAATAGTTCGTCAAAAGAACGTACCATAATTAGAAGAGTACGTGTTTGAGGAGAAGGGGAGATGACATTAATCCATATTGGAAGAACAACCTGAGCTTGTGCAACAGACACATGCAGCCCCCTCGCCCTTTCCATCCCTCGCTATTGATTGTTCGTTGCCCGCCCGCCATTTCGCTCGACATAGTTTTCACTCTTGTGACACTAAGCAGACAGAACTAACCCTGTGACCTGTGCGGTTCAGACTGAGGTTAGACGTAGGGACAGACAGAACAGAGAAACAAAACGCCATCATTCATAGGAAGGCATTAACTATCACCACTACCACCAACTGCTCAACATTCATACTTACCTTTATGGTTGCTTCTTAAAACAATAGGCCTAATTCTAATAATAATTTTCAACATCAACATTTTTTGCAGATGTAGTAACAGAAATATGAGAATTTATCCTAAGTTAAAAATAGTATTTAGTACGAAGTTAAATCATGAACACACTGATCCACACGACAAACAATTCGGAGAACAAGAAGCCTGAAAACGAAATAGAACAACTGAAAAAAAAAATACTGAAAACATCGATTTCTTTTTGTTTATTTAATTTTATAACCAAGTTTTAAATAGACGTCAATGCCACACCTAATGAAATTGCACAATTGGGATAATTTCTAATTAGACTATGAAATCTTGGATACTTAAGTCAGTAAAACTG